TAAATAGTGAGAACGACTGGTAGAAAGTAAGATCGGTGGGTAGGTGGCAAGACAAGTGTATATCTAGAACGACATGTAGATAAGGATACTGATATGTGAAAGGGCGTGTTCTGCCGCTGCTGGCAGAAAACCGGGGGGGGTCACTGGGGGCTTCCAACCCGTCCCTTCCCCCCTTCGAAACCCGGGGGATGTCACTGGAGGTTCCACCCCCCCCCTCTCCCCCCTGGTCCATGATGAAAAGAGGGGGGGTTCACTACTGGTTCGGCCCCCCCCCCCCTGGAAAACCAGGAAAGGTCACTACTGGTTCGGTCCTCCCCTCCACCCCACTCGCCGCTAGGACTCCCGCTCCTCCCCCACTCCGGATGGAGGAATGGTGGGGACAGGACAATGGTCGGGACGGTGGTGGGGATGGTGGTGGGGAGTGGGGACAGTGGGACAGTGGTGGGGACAGTGGGGAAAGTCGGAGTAGTGGGACCGTGGTAGGGACAGTGGTGGGGACAGTGGGGACAGTGCGACAGTGGTAGGGGCACTGGTGGGAACAGTGGGGACAGTGGTAGAGATAGTGGATACAGTGGGACAGTGGTGGGGACGATGGGACAGTGGTGGGGACGGCGGTGGCGGGGACAGTGGTGAGGGGACAGTGTGACAGTGGTGGGGACAGTGGGGACAGTGGGACGGTGGTGGGACAGTGGGGACACTGGGACAGTGGTGGGGACAGTGGGAGAGCGGGACCATGGTGGGGACAGGGGGGACAATGCGACAATGGTGGGGGCACTGGTGGGGACAGTGGTGGCGATAGTGAAACAGTGGGACAATTGTGGGGACAGAGGGACAGTGGTGGGGACGGCGGTGGCGAAGAGGACGGCGGTGGCGGAGACAGTGGTGAGGGGACCCACAGTGGTGGGGACAGTGGGGACAATGTGACAGTGGTGGGGGCGGTGGTGTTGGGGACACTGATGAGGGCGGTGGTGAGGACGGTGATTGGACAATGGGACAGTGGCACAGTGGGGAGAATTGTGGGGACAGTGGGACTGTGATGGGGACAGTGGGGACAGTGGGACAGCACAGTGGGGTAGCGGCGGGGACAGTGGGGACAGTGGGGCAGTGGTGGGGACAACGGGGACGGCGGGATTGTGGTGGGGACAGATAGTGGTGGGGGCACTGGTGGGGACAGTGGTAGGGACGGCGGTGGCGGGGACAGTGGGACAGTGGGACAGTGGGGACAGTGGCTGGAACAGTGGGGACAGTGGTGGGGACAGTGGTGGGGACGGTGGTGCTGGCGGTGGTGAGGACGTTGGTGGGACAATGGGACAGTGGTACAGTGGTGGGGACTGTGGGGGCAGCGGGGCAGTGGTGGGAACAGTGGTGGGGTCAGCGGGACAGCGCAGCGGGGCAGCGGTGGTGACAGTGGGGACAATGGGACGGTGCTGGGGACAGTGGGGACAGTGGGACAGTGGTGGGGACAATGGGGACAGTGGGGGCACTTGCGGGGACAGTGGTGGCAGTGGTGGGAACAGTGGGACGATGGTGGGGACAGTGGGGGCAATGGGACAGTGGTGGGGACGGTGGTGGTGGGGACAGTACAGTGGTGAGGGCGGTGGTGAGGACGGTGGTGGGGGCCCAGGAGTCGCTTGCCGGCGGCGAATGCGAGGGGAGGAGGTTCGAACCGGTAGTGACCCCCTCGGTTTTGCGGAGGGGGGGCTCGAATCGGTAGTGACCCTCCCGGTTTTCTGGAGGAGGGGGTGGGTGGGAGGGAGGGGGGGGTTGAAGGGGAAGAGGGGGGGAGGAGGTTCAAGCAGGGGCGGGGGGGATTTTCAGAGGGGGGGGAACCCCCGAGTTCCACAGGAATAGAGAGGGGGGGGGGGGGGGGGGAATTTTCCACATCAAAGGGGCGGTGAATCACAATCTCTGATATGTTGATATGGTAGGCGCTTATGCCGATAAGGATGAGCGAATAAACGAACAAACTCTTCAATCGACTGATAGGTCGTGGCATCGGCCAACTCATTGCTAGTTAGCTTTGTTAAAAAAAAAATACATAGATCGGCAAGCCGTCATATCGGTACATAATAATGTTTGGATGTATACATGTATCTATATGTATATACAAATGTTCCATGCGCTCCCAGGCTCATACAAAAAGAAATGCAGCACGTAAGCATTGCGAGATAGTGGTAAGAAGAGGAACATAAGGTCCGATACAAGGAGGAGAAGGAGGAAAGAGATGGAGAAGCAGAGGAAAACGAAGAGAAGGAGGCGAATGAGAAACACCAGGGGGCTGTTGAGAAGGAGGTGTAACTTACAGCGCTATCGCAGCCGAACGCAAGTGTGGCTACCACACCTTACGATGTGTGTATGTGTGTGGCGCAGCAGTGTCTTCCACACCTTGCGGTTGCAGCGTAAGCCAAATCTTTGAATGATGTCTCCAGAGATACTGTCGCTTGCTTCGAAGAGTATGAGGACAACTTCGAGTACGTCGGGTTTCAATGTTGGGGGGTGTCTCACGCGAAAAGGCTGCTGTTCTGAGAACGACGTCCAAAATCATTAAAAACCAGTGTGGTTTGAAAATTATATGTTTGACATGCTGAAGACCTTGTGTTTTTGACCGTGATGTCGCGATCTACGTGAGGGGTGCGTCCACTTTTCAGATCTTTGAGGGTGTCCCGAGCGAAGCGGCTAAATAAATCGCGAACGGGACGGGACGGCTTCAACTAATCGCCTCTGAGCCCTACTCCCTCGGAGAGGCGCGCATGATAACAGCATTTACTACCACCAATGCGTGGTGAAATCAGCTGGTATATAATAAGAAAGTGGTGGGACCGATCGGTATTATCATCGATTGAAAAATCGTAGGACCGATAAATCGATTGGTTATGACATCGACAATGTACAATGAGTATGGGAATCCGGTAGATCGGTCTAAGGAAGAGGGAGTGAGGGACCAGTATACGCATTGGAATTGAGATCGCGAGATAAAGAGATCGACCAACACAAGTAACATGAGAGGTCAATAAATACAGTGACAACGGCAAATGGTAAGATCGATCGACAAAACGTGGCATCGTGAGATAGATAGATTGCGTGCCCCGGCCGGACGCTAAGCGTAATCCGAAAGCTGTTCCCACCCCACCCTCAGCATCCTTACTATCACCCACATGATTGTCTTCATGCTACTCATTCATGGTTTGGGGTGTCTGGGGCCTCTCTCGGCGCCTGTTCGGGCCTCTCTAGATGCGTCTTATTGGGAACTCATTCTAACGTATACCGCCTCGGTATAGTAGCATGTAATGGCCTTTAGCGGCTTTTAGTGTATTGCCACCGGCATTTAATTGCCTTTAGTTGCCTTTTAGCAGCCTTTAGTGGCCTTCACGGCCTCAAGTGGCCTTCTGTGGCCTCCAGCGGCCGCCGGTAGCCTCTACAAACAGATAGAAGCTCGATCCTGTATGTCAGAAGGGGCTTCCCAAAGAGACTCCCTGAACTCGAGGCCCCCCTGCGCGCCTCGCATGGCAGGAGGAGGAGGAGGAGGAGGAGGAGGAGGAGGAGGAGGAGGAGGAGGAGGAGGAGGAGGAGGAGGAGGAGGAGGAGAGGAGGAGTAGGAGGAGGAGGAGGAGGAGGAGGGAGGAGGGGAGGAGGAGGAGGGAGGAGGAGGAGGAGGAGGAGGAGGAGGAGATCCCAATCGGAGCCCCCCTGGGCCGCCCGCCCTTCGCCTCTCCTGGGGGCCACGTGGGGCCTCTCGGGGCCCCCCCGTGCGGGGCACGCGGCCGCCTGGGCTCCGCGAGCCGCCCCCAGGGGCCCTGCGGGGGCGAGTCGGACCAATAGGGGGCCTCCTCCTCCTCCTCCTCCTCCTCCTCCTCCTCCTCCTCCTCGTCCTCCTCGTCAAACCCCCGCTCCCCAGACCCCCTCGCGTGGCGAAACAACAACTGCCACGACGGGCGCAGGCTTTTCTGGGGGCCACATGCGAACCCTACCCCTACCCCCCACGATTTCTGAGGGGGAGGGTGGGGTTCACTTCGCTCGGGAGCTCCCGAAGGAGGTGAACCCCACCCTCCCCCTCAGAAATCGTGGGAGGTATGGGGTAGGGTTCGCATGTGGCCCCCTAAGCGCGCACGGCGATGCGGCGAGAGCCACATTTTGAAGACGGCTCGTCCTCCATCCGTGAAGCTGCTACAAATGTCAAGCTTCAGGATCATGAGTGGGGGAACAAAAAACTCAGGCGAAACGTCTGGCCCGCCCTGCCAACACTTTTGGGGTGCGACGGGGAGGAACTATTTCTCTAAGGAAAGGGGATGCAGTCGTAACTGGGTGACGGACCAATCTTGTGCCGCTCGGCAGCGCGTGCCTTTCTTGCACGGGCGACCCCCGGCAGCGCAGACGAGAGCCCGTCGGGCTCCATCTTCGACCCCCCGCTGCGCAGCGCCAAGGCCCGCTGCCGTTGCTCCCTTCTCTCGCGCGCGCTGAGCCCAGCACCCGTGGGTGACTGACGACTCCTAGCCCTGCTGCGCTGTGCTCAGGTCGCTGGCGCGTGGTGGAGATGGTCGGCTCCGGCCTCCCCAGTCGGGTCTTTCGGGGCCCCGGTGGCGAGTCACGCCCAACGTCCCCTTCCCAACTCTCAGCTTCAGCCTCGTACTCCACAGATCGCGGTACGAGGACAACGCCTGCTGCCACTCTCCGTCTTGCTCACAGATGCAAGCCGAACCACTATATTGGACCAACTCTGGCTCCAACTGTGCTTTCCGAAGCTCGCCTAACAACGACAGCGCCTGCTGCCACTGACCACCTTTCGCACGCGCTAATCCCGTAGTGGTAGCTGACGGCGTCTTCCTGGTAATTCGCCTTCCGTAGTCTACAAAGCAACGACAACGCCTGCTGCCACCGTCCACCTTTCTCGCAGGCGCCCATCCCCGCGCTGTAACTGATCAAGTTGGGCTTCAACTTCGCGTCGGGCATGTCGCTGAGCAGCAACAGCGCTCGCTCCCACACCCACCGCCTGTCGCACGCACTTATGGCAGCGTTATAGCTGACCACATTCGGCTCCAAATTCGTCGCCGACATCTCACTGAGCAAAGGAAGCGCCTGCTGCCACTGCCGGCCCTTCTCACACGCGCTGATCCCAGCGCTGTAGCTGATAGGATGAGCCCGTGGACGAACTACGCGGCATGCCAATGCGAAGAGAACCCCCCGGGCCGCCCTGGGCCAACCTTGGTCAATCCTGGGCTCCTTGGACTGCGACGGGGCGAACTGCGAGCGGTCTGGGAGCCGTCTTGGGACGGCGGGAGTGCCGAGCACCCTCGCGGACTCGGCGATCGCGCGAGCTGGTCGGGCGCAGCAGGATTATCGCCAGGCCGCATGGCGCACAGAGGCGCGACGAGAAGGCGAGCGGCGGCCGCGGAGGAAGAGGAAAGGAACTGGCGCTGCGCACCAGGGGGTGGAGGGGAGGGGGGAGGGCTTCTCAGAAGGAGGCTGCTTCTCAGAAGGCGCCGGCCTTGCATCTGTGGAGAGGGCGGCCCCCTCAGACCACGCAGGTCTTGTGGCGGCGTGCTGCTGCCCCGGCGCCAGCGGAGTACTGCACAGCGTCCAGGTGCGTCCAGGCGGCCGAACACCCGTAGAGAAGCTGCACGCAGACGACTCGGCACCCCCGCGGGCCCTTCGCGGGCCTCTCGGGGGCCCTCTGAGAAAGGGGGGGTGGATGCCGGCGGCATGCCACCCCTTGCCCGGTGCCGGGGACGCCTGCGGGCGGACCCGGAACACGCCCGCACGAGCCCGGGGGGGCTCCTGGGCCTCTCTCTCGGGCCCTCCTGCGGCGCGCCGGCGGCCTCCTGATCAAATACATCCCAGATGGTTGGGGGAGCTGTCCGACAAGGGCACGCAGTTCATGTGCGACCTAGTCACGTACATCAGTCAACACATCCATGGGCCAACCAGCGTGCAGCACATCCTATACTTCCTCCAGGACAAGAGCGCTACCGATACTAGGCCCATTGGGCTCATGACCACCACCATGAGGATCACCGAGACGGGCTCGTCTTGGGCCCTGCTGGACCGCTCTGGCACGGTGGCGGATCCTCGTGGGAGCCTCGTCGGGGCCTCCCGGGAGCCCTTCTGGGGGGGGGCGCTGGGGGCCCCAGCGTGTCGTCCGCAGAAGGCCTGGGTCTGCGAGGCCCCCTGACGCGCCCGCGCCCCCAAGGGGGGGCACGGGCGGGTCAGGGCATGGCGGAGGTCCTGGACGCGTCTTGGCGGGTCCTGGAGCCATCTTTGGGCGGGGAGTCGGCAGCGTTCCGGCGCCGTCCTGGGGCAATGTCGGCCTGCTGCGGAGACGCCGCGAGCACCGTGCAGCGCTCGAAAGACCTGCCTCGCGGGTGCTCCTGCGAACCCCACAGCGTCGAACTGAGGATGACGTTGAGCTCCAACTTCGCCTTCCGCATCTCGCTGAGCAGTGCCAGGGCCCGCTGCCACTGTTCGCATTTCTCGCACGCGCTGACCCCAGCGCTGTAGCTGACCCGAATTGTCGTATCGAACAAGGGGTTACATCCACGGGTGGGGGGGGAGGGGACGGGAAAGGGGGGTGGCTGGGGAGACGGGCCTGGGGGAAGACTGCCCATCCGAACCCTGCTCGCACGCAGGCGGCACGCATAATGCGAACAGACATATAACGTTGGGCTCCAGCTTCGTCTCCCGCATCTCTCCGAGCAGCGCCAAAGCCCACCGCCACTGCTGGCTCTTCTCGCAAGCGCTGATCCCTGCGTTGTAGCTGAGAGCTCGCCATCGCTCGGACCTCCATTCCCCTATGCATTCTTCGGTTGCGTGCCTGGATGGCTCGCCAGGTGTGCACACGTGCTCCTCGATGGTCCTTGCCAAGATAGGGTGCACACGCCCGAGCGACGCCAAGAGTAGCGCTGATCCGCGGAATCCGCCCAGCTCCGCGGGGCGGTCCGCGGCGCGCACGGGGCGACGGGAGGAGGAGGAGGAGGAGGAGGAGGAGGAGGAGGAGGAGGAGGAGGAGGAGGAGGAGGAGGAGGAGGAGGAGGAGGAGGGGGGGAGGGGGGGAGGAGGAGGAGGAACAGGGAGGAGGAGGGAGGAGGAGGAGGAGGAGGAGTAGGGGGGAGGAGGAGGAGGAGGAGGGGGAGGAGGAGGAGGAGGAGGAGGAGGAGGAGGAGGAGGAGGGAGGAAGGAGGAGGAGGAGGAGGAGGAGGAGAGGAGGAGGGGAGGAGGAGGGGAGCAGGGAGGAGGAGGAGGAGGACGAGGAGGACGAGGAGGACGAGGAGGAGGAGGAGGAGGAGGAGGAGTAGCGCTGATCCGTGGAATCCGTGCAGCTCTGCGGGGCGGTCCGCGGCGCGCACGGGCGACGGGGCACGGCCGCTCTGCCCGAGAGGCCCTGCCCAGACGAGGCCTCGGCTCGGGCGCCCTCGGATCGGAGCTCCGCAGGCCTTTCGGGCGGCAGTCGAGGCGCCGACCAAAGGAACCCTTCCTCCTCCTCCTTCCCTCCTCCTCCTCTCCCTCCTCCTCCCTCCTCCCCCTCCTCCTCCTACTCCTCCCTCCTCACTCCACCTTCCTCCTCCTCCTCCTCCTCCGCCTCCTCCTCCTCCCCTCCTCCCCTCCTCCTTCCTCCCCTCCTCTTTTCCTCCCACTCACTCCTAAGCCCTTTCGATAAAGGGTCGGCTTTTCGGCACCGGCCGTCAGGCCTCTCCAAGAAGGAACGAGGCCCCTCTTCTTCCAGAAGTGACACGTCGACTTCCCGCCGAAGACTGGAGGAAAACCTGAGGCAGGGTGTGGAACGATTGAGGAACACCCAGCCCCTCCCCCACCGAAAAGGGTTCCTGCTTCAGCGGCCCGACTGCACTGCACGAGGGAGGGCGACAGGGGGGTGGCCTGTCGCAGGGGGGGAGAGGAAGCTCGGCCTGGACTCTGCGATACATCGCCGACAGGTCAGCGACAGGCCCTCAGGCCCCCTACACCCCTGCCGAGAGTTGAGAACATCTTGAGATAAGAAGGTGGACTCCACCCCAAGCGCTTTCTGACACAGCAGCCCACGTCCAGATGCACGACAGTTCTACGAGAACAGAAGCTCCAAGAAAGCGGCCAGGGTCCAGTCCAGATTCTGGATTCTCTTCCTAGCAAAGTCTGGAGTCCACAAGAATGAGTGTGTCTTCTCCATATTTCTGGTGGTGTATCGCAGATGAGCTGGCGATTGGGGGGTCGATGCGTTCCCCCCTCAGCATAGCAGCCCTGACGTTGCCCCCGCTTGAACGGAGTGACCGGCAACGACTGGGGAACGCCGCTCCCCGAGGCGCGCACGCGTTCGCGGCTTCCTCCTCCGCCTCCTCCTCCGCCTCCTCCTCCTCTTCCCCCTCCTCCTCCTCATCCTCCTCCTCCCCCTCCTCCTCCTCCACTCCTCCTCCTCCCGCCTCCTCCTCCTCCTCCTCCTCCCCCTCCTCCTCCTCCTCCTCCTCCTCCTCCTCCTCCTCCTCCTCCCCCTCCTCCTCCACCGGCCGCCTGACGCAGTCGACGCCACCGCCGCGAGAGCCGGACCGTGTGCCGCCCGCTGGCCGCGCGCTCCGCACGGCCCCGCCGAATCGGCGGCCGCTCGCAGGGCGAGCGAGCGCCGAGAAGAGCACCCGGGAGCGGGTGGCCGCGCGAGCCGCGCGTGCAGCGCGGAGGAAGGGGCCCTGGGGCACACAAACAAGTAAGCACAAACAACAGGGTCCCCCATGTCTTCCCCCCTCTGTTCGGGGCTTCCATCTTCCCCCCCCCCCCACTCCCCATGCGTTCCCCCATGTTCTGGGGCATATCGACGATGAATGGTGTCTGTGTCTTTTTTGTCCTCCCGAGTGGAGCCGGCCCGGGGCGCCGCGTGGGAGCGGTGCAGAACACGCCGCGCGGGCCTCGGGGGGCGCGGGCGCGCCGGCAGCCCCCAGGGAGCCGGGGCTCCCCGTGCGCAGGGCTGCCCCCCCCCGCGGGAGGCGCGGGGCGCGGGGCGCAGGAGGGACCCACGGCTGCGCCGAGGGAGCGCCGAGGCGGCGGCGCGGACCGATAGCCAGAGGGGGGGGGAGAGAATGAGCTCGCGTGGCTGCTTTCCCCAGATGGGGGGATAGCCAAAGGGGGGGGTTAAGAATCAGCTCACGCGTGGCTGATTTCCCCGGGTGGGGGGATAGCCGTAGCCATAGGGGGGGGGTGAGAATCGGCTCGCGTAGCCGATTTCCCCGGATGGGGGGATAGCAAAAGGGTGGTTTGAGAATCGGCTCACGTGGCTGACTTTCCCAGCGCCTCCCGGCGCCGGGAGGCGCCCACGGATCGAGGGATGGGCCCGGCGGCGGAGCCGGAACCAGCCGCACGCAGCAGATTTCGTAGCCCCCCCTTTCCCTACCCCCCCCCTTTTCCGTTCGGCCCGATGCATGCGGCCGGGATCGTTCGCTGAGCGCGTCGCCGCGGCGGCCCCCGCGACACGCTGTGCCCTGCGAGCGGATGGCGTGTCACTCCGCTCCGCGGGGGCGGGAGGCTCGGAAGAGCTCGGGGCGAGGACGCCTGGGGACGGGAGGGGGAAGAGCGCGTCGCGCCGCAGCGTGGTGGGCCAGATTCTGAAGGGGCCCCAGGACACACAAAAAAATGCACACAAATAAGACATATCCCCATCTTTGTCCATATGTTCTGGGTTTTTTGGTGTGTGTGTGTGTGTGTGTTGTGTGTTGTGTGTGTTGTGTGTGTGTGTTGTGTGTGTGTTGTGTGTGTGTGTGTGTGTGTTGTGTGTGTGTGTGTGTGTTGTGTTGTGTTGTGTTGTGTTGTGTTGTGTTGTGTTGTGTGTGTGTGTTGTGTGTGTGTCCCTCCTGAGATTCGGCGGAGCGACACGCTATCCAAAAGTTTCCGACCGTAGGCCCACTTCGGCGGCGCGCCCGGGGGGGGGGCAACTGTGAAGGGGCGGGCCTACTCAGAAGGCTCGGGAGCCCCCCGACCTTCTGAGAAGCCCCGCCGCCTTCTGAAAAGGCCTTCTCCTTCTCACTTACCCCCACGCTCGCCGCCGACTTTTTGGGTTTTGGCTCGTAACTCGGGTCTCCAGCGGGCGTTCGGGACGATACAGACACCCCCGAACGCCCTCGGCGGGCCGCAGTTGCAAGCAGGCGTACCGAGGCTGGAAAACTGCCGAGAACCGACGAAAACGTCCCCACGCCTCGAACCGCGAACCCGAAACTTCCCCACCTCGCTCGCCGCCGAATAGATCCACCTCACCTTCTTATCGCGGGCTCCCGGCGAACGCGCAGGTATGCCGGGCAGCTCAGAGGCTGCTGGGCGGCAAAGCCCACCAGCCCTCTGGGCGCAGGTGGTCTGGCGCGTTTCCTTTTCCAGGTCCTCCCCTCTCCTACTCGGGGAGGCCATGATCCAAAAACGGTGAAGGCTGTTTTCGGCGTCCCCTCCTGGGAGGCTGACAAATCGCCTCTACTCTTGGGGCCCTCTTGGGCTGCTCTTGAGCGCCTCTTGGGCGCTCGACGGGCCTCTTGAGGCCATATTGGAGCGCTCTTGGGTCATCTTGGCGAGGAGGCAAAAACACATTGAATTTCCGTAGGTGTGGGAAGGATGTTCGCCTCTTGGGAAGGTACCTGGAGGGCTCCGAAAACAGCTCGAACCGCCTTGGGGGCATCGTGGAGCCTCTTGGAGGCATGTCGGACGCTATCTTGAACCACGTTCGGTTATCTTGAGCCATCTTGCGCTGTCTTGGGCCCTCCTGGGGCCTTCTTGGGCCGAAAAAAGGGCGCTCTAACCCCTCGCGCCCACCCCCGAGGATCGCCCCACGAGGGCCCCAAGATCCCTCCAAGGAGCTCCAGGAGGCCCTCAAGACGGCTCCAAGTGGGCGGTTCGAATAAGCTTCCAAGGTGCTCGCGGAAGGAAAGCTCCGCGAAGGATTGACGGGCCTGCTCAGGCTGACCCAAGGCTTCGGTTTGACGGTTTCCCCAGCTCTTTGTCATACTGCATGATGCCCAACCCTCCTGATCAAGGAAAGTCGCCTGGGCATCGTTGCTGGATGGGCTGGTTCGGATTTTTGATCGCGTGCGCAAGCGGAATGGCCGCGCGCCGTCCAGAGCTACCGCTAACCAGCAGGAGCCTAAATTGCACACGAGAGAGAGGAGAAGAGGAACAACAGGAGAACAGCGGGAGGTGATACAAGCCGGGGCGGGCCGCGCGGCGCTCACGGAGGGGGCGTCATCGGCAGCTGAGCCGCCGGGGGTGCACGCCAAAGTGGTGGGGAACTGGTGGGGGTACGCGAAGCGTCAAGCATCGAGCAGCGCGCAGGACGGGGAATAGGGAATGCAGGGCGGCCGCGGGGAAAAGGGAGAGACGGGCGGGCACCTCAGCAGGTCTCCAGGGGGCGTGCTGCGCTCCGCGTGCGCCCAGGAAGAGGGCCGTGCAAGTGTGCACTAGGGCCCCTCGCTCGCGCCATCTCGCTTCGGTTAGGTCGGGTCTGTCCCCCTACAGAAGGATTTTGAACGAAACACACAACATACCCCAAAAATGCTCAAACATGCCCAAACATACTCCAAACATTGTCCCCCCACTATTTTTACTATTGTTGAATATTCCCCCTGTAGAGGGACAGGCCCGGCTTAAGACTTCGGTGCTGATCGCGCGCGTCGGCTTGCGCGGGGCGCACGTTTGGTCGCCGTGCCAACCGCCACGATCCCTACCACTACTACTCCTAAGGCGACGACGACGATGACGACTACTACGACTACTACGACTACTACGACTACTACGACTACTACGACTACTACTACTACTACTACTACTACTACTACTACTACTACTACTACTACTACTAACCATTACGTCTACTTCTACTACTGCTGCTACTACTACTTCTATTATCACTGCTGCTGCTGCTGCTGCTGCTGCTGCTGCTGCTGCTGCTGCTGCTGCTGCTGCTGCTGCTGCTGCTGCTACTGTTCCTACTACCGACGACTACCAACGACTACCTGCGACTACCTGCGACTACAATTCACCAACACCTGCAACTTACACGGTTTCGTGCGCCGCCTGCCCCTCCAGGGAGGCTGCCCGGGAGGCCCCGCCAAAGAGGCCCCGCCAGAGCGAGGAGGGCGGCACACCGTACTATTTACACGGTGTCGTGCCCCTACTGCCCCTCGAGGGAGGCCCCGCCAGAACGAGAAGGGTGTCTGAACAACGTACTATTTACACGGTTTCGTGCCCCTCCCGCTCCTCCAGGAAGGCCCCGCCACAGCGAGGAGGGTGTCGGAGCACAGTGCTAATTACAAGGTTTCGTGCCCCTCCAACCCCTCCAGGGGGGCCCCGCTAGAGCGAGGACAGTATCACTTCTATCCACACGCTTTCGTGCCTTTCCCGCTCCTCCGGGGAGGCCCCGCCAGAGCGCCGTTGAGGCTCTTGACGCAGCCCACGGAGGCCCCGAACGCATCCACAGGAGCACCACCACGCTGCCCTCTCGGGCCCCACGCGCAGCCCACAGAGGCCCCGAGCGCGCGCACGGAGGCCCGGCGACGCTGCCCACCGAGGCCCCTGACAGGCGCCCTACCACGCTGCCCACTGAGCCCCCACTGTGACGTCCTTCTGCCGACCAGCCACAACTGGGGGAGCTGTGGTCCTTACCCCCCTGGGGAAACCCATCGCGTCGACGATCTCTCGAGAGGGGTGTCGAAATCGATGGGTCCCCCAGGGGGGTAAGGACCACAGCTCCCCCAGTTGTGGCTGGCCTGTTCTGCGGGGAACTCCGGTAGCAGGACGTGCTGCTTCAGACTGCGGCGCAAATCCATGAACTGCCTGCGCTGTGCTGCTGTACTCTGCTACTCGGGGGGCCTAATGCCAGCACGGTGCCTCAGCACTGTTGGGGAGGCGAGAAGGCGCCTCGAGAGGAGGAGAGGGCGCGGGGAAAACGCACCAGAGGACCGGCGCTAAAGAGGCGGCATCGAGCGCCATGACCTGGGCCCCAGACGCGCTCTCGCATTGTTGGGGGTGCAAGCTCCTGGTAGCCAGGAGGACGTCGCTGCCCTCTCCTGTCCAATCAGCCGACAAGAGCGCATGCGGGGGCGGGGGCCGAGGCCTGCCGAGGATACGCCGTCGCAACAAAGCAACAGACGCGAAGGCTCCCTTCGATCGGATAAACCAGGCGTCCTGCTAAGACCACGGAGTCTTGCACCTGCTGCCCCGAGGCCGCGGGAAAGGAACCCTGACTCATTCGAGCTTGCACCCTATCGCAGGGCATGCTGAGGCTCTCTTGGATTGTCCTCGGTGCCATCCGGGGCCGACTTTGGGGGAACGAAAAATCACATAAGCATAAAAACTCGGAGGTCCGCGCGGATTTCTCGGATCGGCGCTGGACACCCCTTCCCTGGCGCGCGGAGCGCGCCAGGGGCGGCGCCGGAGGCGCCGCCGGGGGGCCCCAGCGCCGATCCGAGAAACCCGCGCGGACCTCCGAGTTGTTATGCTTATGTGACTTTATGTTCCCCCAATCTTGGGGCGCCCTCGGGCCGCCTTGGGCTCTCCGGGCCGAGCGGGGCCCTCCTGCGGGGCACCAGGGGCCGCCGTGGGGCCCCACGCAGGCAGCTGGAGGCCCCGCCATGGGCCGAGGCCGAGGACCGCGGGGCATGCTGAGGCTCTCTTGGGCTGTCCTCGGTGCCATCCGGGGCCATCTCGGGGCGCTCCTGGGCCGCCCTGGGCTCTCCGGGCCCAGCGGGGCCCTCCTGCGGGGCACCAGGGGCCGCCGATGGGGGCCCCGCGCCGGCAGCTGGAGGCCCCCCCCCCGGGCCGAGGCCGAGGACCGCCGGGCCGATTTCGGGGGCAGCGTGGCTCTCGCGCCCCTCTGGAACGAGCCCCGCCCTCCCGCAGAAAAAAACCCGCGAGAGTCCGGGCCTCCCGCGAAACAGGCGCGAGTCCTCCCGCAAAGGAGTCACAGGAATCCTCCCCACCGTGCAGTGTTCCCGTCCTTGCAGGCCCCCCCCGGGCTACCTGGCCTCCGTGGCCCCCCCCCCGTGGCGTCGGTGCAGGACGAGACGAGAGCACGTTAGGCTCTACCCTCGCGCCCGGCATGTCGAGGAGCAGCCACAGGGCCAGCTGCCACTGCTCGCCTGCCTCGCAGGCGCTGATCCCGGCGTTGTAGCTGATGACGTCGGGCTTCACCGTCGCCTCCCGCATCGCGCCGAGCAGCGCCCGAACGTGGTGTCGCTGCTCGCTCTTTCTGCAGGCGCTGAGCGCAGCGTTGAAGCTGTTGACGTTGGGATTCAGACTCGCCTCCCCCATCTGGCTGAGCAGCGCGAAAGCCAACTGCCACTGCTTGCCTTTCCCGCACGCGCTGATTCCGGCGCTGTAGCTGACGACGCTGGGCTGCAACTTCGCCTCCCGCAACTCGCTGAGCAGCGACAGGGCCCGCTGCCACTGCTCGCCTTTCCCGCACGCGCTGATGCAAGCATTGTAGCTGACTGAGGCGAGACCGTGGCTTACTAACTGGGCTCGCCTTGACGAGAGCCCCCATGCGAGCCTGACAGGACGAGCATGGTGGGCCATAGTAACCATAGTAGCACACACACACACCATGCCAACAAAAATATGCCAAACCATAAGAATACCAACCCTTCCATGACCCAAACCCAGGATTCCCCGTTGGACGCTCCCTGGACGAGAGGATCCTACTGCAAACCGCTCTCGCACGCTCTGGGCACGGCACTGCAGTATATGCAGATAGCGTCGGGTTCCAACTTCGCCTCACCCATCTCGCTGAGCAGCGTCAAAGCCCGCTGCCACTGCTCGCCCTTCGCGCACGCGCTGGTCCCAGCGCTGTAGCTGACTAAAACTGACCAGCGAACTGCATCCACGATCTGCACGGCTTGGCATGTGAAGGTGGACTTGCTGCCGAAAGGCTAAAACAACAGCGTGGAGCTCGAACTTCGCATTCAGCGCGTGCTACTACGTGCTGTTGTTTGCTGCCGCTCTTGCGCGCTGGTGGTAATGAGTGCCGCTGCTTGCGGCTGCAGCGGGATTCTGAGGGCCAATTCTGCTTGCGGCGTGCTGCTGCCCACTGCCCGCTGCCCGCTGACCGCTGCTGCCCCGCTGCTGCCGCCGCCGCTGCTGCTGCTGCCCCGCCGCTGCTGCTGCTGCTGCTGCCGCCGCCGCCGCTGCTGCTGCTGCCGCCGCCGCCGCCGCCGCCGCCGCTGCTGCTGCTGCTGCTGCTGCTGCTTGCCAAGGCTGTGCGCTACCTCTGGCGGCCGCCCGCACCGTGCTGCGTGCCGCTGCCGCTCGCTGCTCCCGCCACTGCCTAGTGCGACCGGCTCTTCTTGCAGCCTGCTGCTGGGAGAGGCTCGAGGAGCGAGGGAGCCAGGCTCGAGGACATCGAGGGCGCGGAGAGCAGGCGAGGAGCGAGGCGCGAGGCGCGAGAGAGGAGAGGGGCGACGGCCGAGGACAGAGACTTCGAGGAGGGAGAGCCGAGAGGGACGGAGCTGGGAGGGCGGGAGGGGCACTCCCTCGGGGGCCGGCCGTGGCAGCGCGCGGGGAGGCCCCTCGGGATGCCCGGCCCCGCCGAAGCTCTCGTGCGGGCCCTCCTTGGGCTCAGGTTGGGCCTCGACGAGGGCGTCTGCAGGAGGAGGAGGAGGAGGAGGAGGAGGAGGAGGAGGGGGAGGGGCTTGAGGGGGAGGGGGAGGGGGAGGGGGAGAGAGGGAGAGGAGGAGGAGGAGGAGGGAGGAGGAGGAGGAGGAGGAGGGAGGAGGGCGGCGAGCGCCCCCAGTGGGGCCCAAGAGGGCCCCGGAAGGGAGCTCATAGACCTGCCGCTTCGGGCCCGAGCGGGGGGGCCTCCTGATGGGGGCTTCCTCGGGGCTCTCTCGGGGGGCTCCAAGGGGGGGCTCCAAGGGCGGCGCCCTGGAGCCCTCGGAAGGTGCTCTGGCCAAAACCAGCCCAGGGCACGAGATGCCTAAGCCTAGAACTCGCGCGCACATGCACAAAGAGGAACTCATGCCGCCTCATGCCTTCAGGCTACTGCGCGCATTCGCGAACACAGCGACACTGGCCAGCAGGGGGGCGAGCGTGCCAGAAGAAGAAGCTGGGGAGCAAGGGGACGTCCGATCCGAGACGCTATCCAGGCCCACTCGCGGATAGTGCCCAGGCATGGTAGGACTCATTCTCCCGCCCTCGCCCGCAGCCCCAAGGCCACGAGACACATGTTCACAATGTGACTTCACAGTGCTGGTCTGGGAGGAAGCGGAAGGGGATGGGAAAGACGAGGGGAGGGGGGAACAACAGGCACTCGCCGAGCGCCCCGGCCTCGAATCATCCAGTCAGCCTGGGCTAAGAGTCGGCACCACAACGCGCTCTCGCCGAGCGCGCTGGCGTCGAACCGCCCACACGGCCTGGGCATCCGTCGTGGGCCGTCACGCCCTTCCTCGGTCCTGCGCCCCAGCTTGGGCCCTCGCGGGCCCTCGAAGCATCTTGCGGACGACCTGGCGCGGGGGCCGTCCTTCGCCGGGAGCCAGGGTGGCTCAGAGAGAACTTGCCCCGCGCTCGTGTATATACGACGCTGGGCTCCAGCTTCGCCTCCCGCATCACGCTGAACAGCGCCAGCGCTCGCTGCCACTGCTCGCCCTTTTCATACGCGCTGATCCCAGCGTTCAGAGTGACTCGGGGCGACCCCTAGACTACTCCCCGCGCGAGCATATTCCTTACTCGCATGAAAGGCTGCGAAGTGCGCAGCGTACAAGACACCACGGTACATCTGAAAAGGGAAGCTTGCTTCCAGCACTCACGGCGGACACAACGCCGCCGTTTTATCCAACAGCACGTATCAGAGGCTCAGAGGCCCGGTTCGTATGCGGCATGACATGGTGGAGGCGACAAACGATTACCCAACCAAACATATGACATAACATGCACGGACTGGGATGTTCACGACGCGTCACGGCTGGCACAAAAAACAACACGTTGCAGCGCGGCGCGTCGTAGCACGCTAACGAGGCATCGACAGAGACCAGACAGGGTATGGGATGTTGCTGCCTTGCTACAACTTGGGAGTGCTTGCAACAATGATGCAATTATAACTAAACGCAAAACTTGAATCGCGGATTGGGCTGTCATGATTTTCACATTTGCAACAAGTAATCCGCCACCGTGCCTTCAGGCACGGAGAGTGGGCGTGTCCTCAGGTCCCCCGGTGCAGTCCCCAGCCCTCTGGATCAAGGAATCGTAAAGGACCGGGGCCACAGAGGGCCGAATCCTCCGCGGTCCGGGACGGCCTGTCGCAGGACCTTTTCGGGCCCTACCTATGGAGGGCCCCCAGGCGGGCCAAGGGGGCCCCACGGTCGCCCCACAGACGGTCCGAGAGGAACCCCGAGCCACCGCGGGAGCCTTCCACGCACTTTTGGTCGGCGGGGCGAGAGCGAACCTCTTCCGCTAACAGCTAGGCGGGCTACGCACAGCTTTAATTAGGGAGACAGGGCACAGCAAGGCGGGGCCTCAGGCGGCCGGAGCGGGCGGAGCCCGGGGTGCAGGCGGTGCCGTTGAGCTTGCACAGGAAAAGGTACGGAGCCTTCCACGCACGCAGGGGGGTCGAGAGCTGTGGAGCCGGTGGCCGAGGACTTACCAAGCGCTCGGGCGCCCGCTCCCCGTGCTCTGCATGTTTTTTTTTGCGCGTCCTCTCTCTCTCTCTCTCTTTCTCTCTCTCTCTCTCTCTTTTTTTTTTCTCTCTCTCTCTCTCTCTCTCAGGATATTCCAAGCTGCTCAAAGACAGTCCAGATCTTCTGGCGCTGGCATCGCCATGAAATATGCGCATGTCCAGGCCATGCCGAGAGGGTGGCAAAAGGTAACAAATCTGCAGGGGTGCCGGGCGAGGGGGCGCGGGAAGAGGCGGGCGTGGGCGGCGGGGGTGGGGCGGGGGGAGGCTGCTCCGCCGAAACAGGTCGAGCGTTCCCAGACGGCTCCTACAAGCATGCGGCCTGAAATCATACTAGAGGTGACTGGCGTTGGGCACCATAGTCGCATTCCACATCTCGTTGAGCAGCGACAGAACCTGCTGCCACTGCCTGCCCTTTCCACATGCGCTGATCCCAGCGTTGAAGCTGATGACGTTGGGCTCCAGCTTCACCTCCAACATCTCTTCGAGCAACGCCAAAGCCCGCTGCCACTGTTCGCCCTTCTCGCACGCGCTGATCCCAGCGCTGTAGCCGATGACGTTTGGCTCCAGCTTCGCCTCCTGCATCTCGCTGAGCAGCCCCAAGGCCCGCTGCCACTGCTCGCCCTTCTCGCAGGCGCTGATCCCAGCGTTGTAGCTGACCTCAATTTAGGCAAGACTGGGGCTGACCTGTGAATTACGTCCACGAAATCTGCAAGAATTGGCATGTGGTGGTGGACATGCTGCCGAAAAGCTGACATGATGACGTGGGGCTCGAACTTGGCATTCCGGGCATGCTACTGCGTGCTGCTACTTGCTGCCGCTGCTCTGCGCGCTGTCGCTGCCTGTAGCTGCAGGGTGCTGCTGTTGGCCAGTTTTGCTATGTGCGTGCTGCTGGCCGATGCCTGCTGATGCTGCTGCTTGCTATTGCTGTGCGCCCCCGGTGCTGCTGCCCGCTTCGCGGTGCTGCCGATTACTGCTGCTGCTGCTGCTGCTGCTGCTGCTGCTGCTGCTGCTTGATGCTGCACGGGTGATGTTTCTCGCTACTCCAGCATTCTGACGAGGCATGCTGCCGGGAGAGGATCGAAGAGCGAAGAGCCAGGATCGAGAATGTCGAGGGGATCGAGAGGGAGAAGCGATGGCCGATCGGCGAAGAGCGAGGCGCGAGAAGGGAGGAGGTGCGGCCGAGGAGCGTCGAACCTCGAGGAGGTCTGTCGTCCGTGTGAACCTCTGGGGGGCTGCCTTCGGGCTCCGAGGGTGTGATAGACACGTCTGGAGAGACCCCCCCAAGGGGTCTGGGGGGGCACTCCCTCCAGGAACCGGGCGATCTGCATGCGCCGCACCGTGGCCACCTCCCCGGTGCCTCTCGCACGGTTGCCGATCTGCGCATGGTCCTGGTGCAGGGCTCGTGGACTGACTTGCGCCCGCGTCCGCGCCCCTGGAAATCCTCGCGGCCTCCGGCGGCTCCGCGGCTGCAGGGTCAGAAGGGGGGGGGGGAGACATACCCGAACTCCGGAGCAAGCCTCGGCAAGGCCTCCACCTGCTGGGCGGAGGTCAGGGCTCGAAGTTGATCTGGAGGACCTCGATGCCCATCGAGGCCGCCTTAGGGAAAAAACGCACAAAACACACACACACACACAGTGTGTGTGTGTGTGTGTGTGTGCGTGCGTGCGTGCGTGCGTGCGTGCGTGCGTGCGTGCGTGCGTGCGTGCGTGCGTGCGTGCGTGCGTGCGTGCGTGCGTGCGTGCGTGCGTGCGTGCGTGTGGGTGTGTGTGTGTGTGTGTGTGTTGTGTGTGTGTGTGTGTGTGTGTGTGTGTGTGTGTGTGGTGTGTGGTGTGTGTGTGTGTGTGTGTTCGTGGTGCGTGGGTGCGTGCGTGCGTGCGTGCGTGCGTGCGTGCGTCGTGTCGTGCGTGCGTGCGTGCGTGCGTGCGTGCGTTCGTGCGTGCGTGCGTGCGTGCGTGCGTGCGTGCGTGCGTGCGTGCGTGCGTGCGTGCGTGCGTGCGTGCGTGCGTGCGTGCGTGCGTGCGTGGCGTGCGTGCGTGCTGTGTCGTGCGTGCGTGCGTGGGTGGTGGTGCGCGTGCGTGCGTGCGTGCGTGTGTGCGTGTGCGTGTGGTGGTGGTGGTGGTGGTGGTGGTGGTGGTGGTGGTGGTGTGTGTGTGTGTGTGTGTGTTGTGTGTGTGTGTGTGTGTGTGTGTGTGTGTGTGTGTGTGTGTGTGTGTGTGTGTGTGTGTGTGTGTGTGTGTGTGTGTGTGTGTGTGTGTTTCCCACGTGTGTGTGTGTTTTTCCTACAGCGTGTGTCTTTGTCCCACAATGTTTTTTTCCCACAGTGTGTGTGTGTGTGTGTGTTTTCCCAAAGTGTGCTATTTCCCACAGAAGGACCCGCGGCGGCCTCAGAACTGGCCCTCGCGTCTTCCCGTCGGCCCTGCTGTGGTCCGAGCGGGAGGCGCGCGCCTCTCCAGTTGCGGGCTCGCGGGCGGGCGCGTCGGCGTATGGTTGGCACTCGGCGAGGCCGGGGAGCCCCCTGGAAATTTCGGGGCTCGGTGCGGTGATACGCGAGAACTCCAACTCCAGGCAGACACGGAATGAAAATCAATGACTTCGGCCCATCGAGGCCCTCGCGGGGAGCCTCTTGGAGCACTCGTGTGCCGTCCTGGGGCCCGGCTGGGTAGTTCTGAAGGCCGCACTGGTGACCCCTTCCTTGGGCCGTCTGGAGGCGCCTCGGGCCATCTTGGGCCGTCTTGGAGCCTGCCTGGGCCGGCCTCGGGAGCGCCTTGGGCCGTGTTGGGGCCCTCTTGGGCCATCTGGTGGCCCTCTTGCGGGCCTGTTTGGCCGTGTTCGCGCGAACAGGGAGGCCTTTTGGGCCGTCTTGGAGCGTGGGAAGCCTGAAAGAGCGAGAGCCTCAAATCAGTAGAAAAACCAAAAGGACATCAATGATTTTGGCCCCTCGGGACCCTCTTATGGTGCCTCTTGGAGCCCTCCCTCTTGGGCCGTCTTGGGGCCCTGTTGGGCCGTCTGAAAACCATATTAGCGACCTCGTGGGCTGTCTGGAGGCGTGTCGGGCCATCTTGGAACGTCTCGGGGACCGCTGGGGGCCGCCGGGGCCCCCCTGGGGCGATTTTGGCCACTTGAGCCGCTTGTCGGTGCTCACTTTTCTGGTGCTGCCGATCAACTAACAGACTAGGGCTGACCCGTGGACTACGGCCACAACATCTGCACGAACTGGCATGTGATTGTGGACATGCGGTTGGGAGTCTGGAATGATCACGTGGGGCTCGAACTTCGCATTCCGCGCGTGCTACTGCGTGCTGCTGCTTGCTGCCGCTGCTGCGTGATGTTAGTAATGGTTGCCGCTGCTGCGTGCTGCTGCTGTTTATGGCTGCAGGGTGCTGCTGATGACCAGCGCTGCTTGGTGCGTGCTTGCTAAGTGGTGCTGCCGTGTGCTGCCGCTGATGCTGTCTGCTTTGTGCTGCGTGCTGCTGCCGTTCGCTGCTGCTGCTGGCTGCTGCTGCTGCTGCTGCTGCTGCTGCTGCTGCTGCTGCTGCTGCTGATGCTGCTTGATGCTGCTTGATGCTGCAATGCTGACATTCCTCGCTACATCAGCTTGCGGGCGGACCTGCTGCCGGGCGGGGATCGAGGATGTCGAGGAGATCGAGGAGATCGAAGATGTCGAGGAGATCGAGGAGGAGATCGAGGATGTCGAGTCGGGACCGAGGATGTCGAGGAGATCGAGGAGGGAGAAGCGGGGAGCGATCCGCGACGAGCGAGAGGGGAACAGCGACGGCCGAGGGGCGCGGATGGAGCGCCGAGGAGGGCGGCGGCGGGACGGGCAGGGACCTCTTGGCCGCTTTGGGGTCCTCGTGAGGAGGGGCCGCTCGAGGCGTCTCTGGGGGGGCCTCTCGGCGGTCTCTTGGGGCCTTCGGGGTGCCCTCTTCGGAGCCCCTTTGGGCTTCTGTGCGGGGCCCTCCCGGGCCTCGTGGGGCCACGTGGGCGTCTGTGCGCCCGGCCTGGGCGTCCTGGAGCCGCCCTGCCGGTCACCAGACTGAGCGCGCCTGCAGCTGGCGGAGGCGACGCGGCCCCGCACTTCTGACGGCCTCGCCCACGCGTTGCTGAACTGATGGCGTCAGGCTCCAGCTCCACCTCCGACATCTCGCTGAGCAGCCCCAGAGCCCGGAGCCACTGCCCACATTTCCCACACGCGCTCATCCCAGCGCCGTAGCTGACGACGGTGGGTGCCAGCTTCGTCTCCCTCATCTCGGTGAGCAGCGCCAGCGCCTGCTGCCACTGCTCGCCTTTCTCGCACGCGCTGATCCCAACGTTGTATGTGAATTAGGGCTGACCCGTGGCCTTACGTCCACGCAAGCTTCCTCGCATGCACGTGTAAAGATTCCTCGCCTGCTTCACTGCTCGCGTGCCGTCTGTCTCGCTTGCGTGACTGCTACCCTAGCCTGCTACCCTGACAACTGTATCGCCCGCTTGCCGGCTTGCGTGCTGGCCACATTTCCAGATTCCATTCTTGCTTGCCAGGACTCTCCCTTCATCGCTTGCACGTTCGCTCGCTTCGCTTTCTGCCTCGTGGTCTTGCTTCCGGCTACGTGGTTGCCTACTGAATGTTGCTGCTGCCTACTGTTTGCTTGCTGGCTCATTGTGCTTGGTGTGGCGTAGTGTTGCAGTTTGCTGGTGTCCCGTGCCAGAAAAAAATGCGTGCCTGCTGTTGGTGGCTGCTACTGGATGCAGGTTATGCTAACACGTTGTAATGGCTGCTGCTGCTGCCGCCGCTGCTGCTGCTCACAGCTGCTGCTTACTGCTTGATGCTGTTGCTTGACACTTCTGCAGGCTGATGATGCCCTCTGCTGCTGGTTACCGCTGCTGCCTGCCTGATGCCGCTTGGTCAACAACGTGACTATGGACTGTCCTGGCGAGGCCGGGAGTCCTCCGGCTTGCACCACGAGCATTGCTCCACCCCGCCGGGCGCAGCGCAGAGGCTGCTTGCTCCTGCTGCGAGCCTGCGGCTGGCTGCGCATGGCTGCTGCCTCTGATGCTGCTGGGTACGTGGGCCGTGCAGGGGCTCCCGGCTCCCTTGGGCCGCAGTGGGGGCAGCCAAGGGCCCTCTTGAGGCCCTCTTTTTTTTGGAGAAGAAGGAGGGGGCAAGCAGGAGGGGGCGATCGCAACCGCTCCCGGGTCACCAGTGCACTCCGCGGCGACACGCGGCAGAGATTGACCAGCGGCTTCACTTACAGCAACGTCCCAGAAGTAAAACAGCACTGGCGAGGCCGGCGGGCCGTCGCCTCTCTCGGGGAGGGGGAGGAGGAGGAGGAGGAGGAGGAGGAGGAGGAGGAGGAGGAGGAGGAGGAAGGAGGAGGAGGAAGAGGGGGAGGGGGAGGAGGCCAGCCCAGCAGAAGTGGCCGGCCGGGCAAACGCCACCACATTCAGGGGGGGAAGTTCCTCTCGAGGCCCTCCACGGGGCTCCCCGCGGGCCTCTCGCGTCGTCGTGGCGCCGATCGGGGGGCGAAGGGTCACCCCACCCAGGCCGCCTGTGGCCCTCCAGGAGCGATCTTGGGGCCTGCTTGGGGCTCTCTTGGGGCTGTCTC